TTCAAAAAAGTCTTACGCAATTATAGGAAGATTACACAGAGAGCTGTAATTGTGCCATGACGCCAGGCCACTTTATATCTGCCTACCAAGGTCTAGTATTTTCTTTGTTCAAGTCGCTCTCTTAGGCACTAACCGGATCAAATCTTCGATATTCTTGTCATCCACAGGTAGTTCGTTCAATCCTGTAGGTACAGAGGGGCTAATCATAGGGCGAAGGAACTGCATGCTAGGATCGTATAAAGATAGCAACGCGGACAGAAGACCATAGTTTCTACTAAATATTGCTTAAGAGGTTTTTGAGGCACACTTATTAAAGTCCGAACCAATTATGTTTTCGATTTGAACAACACAAGTTGATTTGCTTGGATCTTCCACTTAGGTCTACAACTAGGAAGGTTTCCAAACCGGAGCAGGAAGGAGAAACGAGAAGAAGGAAGAAGGAGCATACACCTATTAGAAAGGCTGCATTGTGGAAACAAATATGGTTTACTAGATCACCGATGAAAGTTTAAGCCTTCATAATTGCAACGTAGGTTAAGGGATATTTCGAACCGCTGTCCATGCCGGCCGTTGCAAGCGAATGTAGGAATGACCGTACGGAAAACTACGAACGAACGACCTCAGCTTTACTGCACTGAACAAGGTGGAAGCCTTGTAAGCCGAAGAAATGTAGGGAGCTTTTAATTGGTACAAGATGTCATCGATATATGCTATTATATCGCTGGTAGCTTTTTGTATATCGGTCATTGCTTGAGAGGTTAGTTTGATGTACTACAAGTTGTGCCTAGTATACGGATAATACTCCAGGATGAATTTATTGACGGAAGGTTACCTCTTTACACCCTTGATACTAGTATTATACCAAATAATTCTCATTTATGTTTCTTTACTCAATCGTACCTGTTGTGCTCACGTATATATGTATATATTAAATGCTCAAAAAATAGAAGAGGAACCTCTTATCGAAACCGCAACTGGTTCAATTTCCCCTCCTATTTAAAAAGTGAAGTTACCCTTCTTAGTACACTATGCTGTAAATTCGAAATAAGGTTATATAGTCACACTTACGCGTTGCCATGTGTCTAGAGAATCACCTGATCACTATAAGCGTTAGCTATTTTCTAAGGAGATGGCTTCATTAAACAAGTACACCAAATAGCACCTACGTCGAATCAAGCAAGCCAACTCTGCAGATCCCAATTGGTTCGGGTATTTTTCAATGTTGGCAATCTCTAGTAGTTGTCTGACACAGTCGGATTTCTGCTTAAACGATTCTTCTTTAACACGGAAAATATGCTTTGGATGAATGTATACTATATACTTTTTGATGTGATTTTTAAACAATTGACTCGTTATGCATATGCTGATATATGTACGCACTCACAGACGCACGTAGCAAGCTCATTTTTTAGCATGCCACAAAGTTTCAGTTATCATTAGTAGCGTCGTTACACGTCAAGTTGCGGATTACAAATAACCATCAAGAAAATTATGCATTAACTACACACTTTATGGTTTATATTTCATCCTCTAATAGAGAGCTATCTGCGCTGACCACATGAGAGTACTAGAGAAAGCCAGAACTTAAAGAAACTGCAGTGGCAATAGACCACGTAACTATTACGTACTACAACACAGTCTTTCCAACTTAGGATTTATTGTCTAACACGTAAACAAATTTTACTAGCTGGGCCTAAACCTTTGATATTAAATCCTTCATGCATCTTTTCTAGGTAAATTGAGCAAATTCTAATCGTTTAAAGCAAAGCCCTGGCTAACCAGTGCTGATGTGTGAACAATCGATTGTAATCAGGACTTGTTTATGCTATATTAGGTTATGTTTTTAGACGTTAACTCAAGATACTACGCTAAACATTATATCGAGTCTATTGTGTTTCGCCAATCCGTGCAGCGCCCCTGTGAACACTTGGAATATCTGACATTCTAACGGTTTAAATGTTTACCGTTAATAGATAAGTATCGTTCATTTTCCTGTAACTATTTGTATATAAAACAACGAGCTATGATGAAGTGAATACAAATATATTCAGGAAGATAATTATTTTAAATGTACGGGTAACACCTTAACCTACGGACTAATTCAGTCGAACAGCGGTTTGGTCTTTAGGCACGTTCGAAAGACCATGCCCGAGCTTCCTCTGGCGGCAACAGCGGCAGATAAGAGTCATTGTAAGCGCAAAAACATAAAGTGAATCTCTATGTTTTACATACGGTATCGCCGTTAGGCAGGCATTCCATGAGACAGACTAGCACCCAGCACAAAATGGAGTCAAAATAGAGTGCCTGTCTATGCTCCATGTAAGGTAAGACCATAGACCACGACGTGTCCCATATTTTAGTAGGCAAATACGTCACCCGCTGGCTGAAGTGAACCCACAGAATAAAAAAACTCCTCCCAATCCGGCATCTTGTACAGGAGTTGCCTAAAAGCAGAAAAAAAGCCACTCACTAACGAGTGGAACTGCAGTACCCGCGTTCGACGAACAAGATTATCTATGCAGCTTGAATGAGCTAAATGATAATAATTACTTTTCCATTAAAGATACTTTTTGTGGACCCTTTCTACACACTTTTTCGCCAGTCCTAAAGCATACCGTGTTACTTAAATTTTTGTACATATATTTTCAGACAAAAGCTAACAATTTACATAAAAAGCTATTTTTAAATTTTTGTAATTTTATAGTTTTCTATGCGGTTTCGGCCTTCATTAAACGCCCCGTTTTAATCCAGGGGCGTATCAGTAGCGTGTATGGGGGTTTATTATTTGTCGTATAAAAACAACAACACAGAATGGCATACTGATAAAGAGTGATATCAGAATGTATATTTAAATAATCAAATCAAATTAATTATTTAATGAATAATAAAGATACTTACATAAATACTTCTGGTAAATTTCGTACCCAATCGCGTCTAATTCGTCGAATACTCAAAGATAAAAGCGTTTTTAAGGGGTTACTTCAAATTACTTTTCACAATTCATCGAAATTAATGGTCAACAATTGTGTCAAATATTTGAATGCGCGCTACTAATTTTTTGTTTACTAAAGTAAATGCTGCATGTTTTTGAAACCAAAACCAATTGAACTGGAAAAATTTATATCTAAGTAGTAATGCTAAGCTTCAGAGCTAATTTTTGGTGCGCTAAAAATTTACTAGAGTACAACATCGCCAATCCGAGACATCATCATTCAACACTGTTCTCTCACATAAAAAATGTACCTTAAATATGTAGAAATGATCGCTGGTTGCAAACTTGAGATATTATTTATCATTACTTTGGTGCACTGAACATTGATAATAATAAAAGTAATAATAGATTTTATAATTATTATTAATAGGTACTCATTTACTATGAAGAACAAGTTATGTAAGGGAAGCACCATATTTCGCTTTTCCTAATGAACTATAAACCGTAATGTATTTTTTTTAGTCATTAAGTAAGTCCCAACGAAAAATCCAATTAGGTAAGCAATTCATAATTTCAGTTTAAATGTTACACGATTACTATCAAGGCTAATTAGTAATTCTAGTGCAACTGTAGCGGGGACAAATGCACCGACTAAGTAAATTTTGTATCCACAAATTAAAATTACAAATAATAAAATTCTTCTATTCTCGGCTAAATTTCGTCTGCTCACGCTAAAAGCAGCTATTAGCTAGAATACGAGTGAAAAACCTTTAGTAAGCCTAAACACTTTGTATAGCGAAGCTTAATCATTATATGCAACTATTTTAATATATTATATTTGTGCCATTGCTCAAGCACAAACAGAATTTTAACGTTAGCAATCTGTCATCACACAGAGCTTTATTTTTTTCCTTGTTTGAAGGTGCATGGCGTGAGAAATAAGACAATGATATTTAAAATTCGGCTAAATATTTATGTTCCTAGTTTTATAAAGCCTAATACTTATCTGTACATTTTCTATAGGAGAACAAGATGCTGCTATTATACATCTCAGCAATATTATTAATGTATGTCGACATATATTACAAAACATGCGTGATTAAATAAACAAATATAATACTATTACTATATACATTATTATATACTATATTACATTGTCCAAAGTTGAGTCGCCAAACGTCTACCATCTTGCCAAAAAGTTTTAGTAATAGGATAAGTTGTAGGCGACGACTTATAACTTTTACTGTCACTGAGGTGGCAGCGGAATTCCACGAGCGAGTCAGCATAAATGGGCGATCTATCATTTCCGCGTAATGTCGTCGTTCTATTCGTCGTGCATTCTTGGAAACCTCTACAGAGTAAACTAATTTTAATTTGCTATTATAATTATTAACCTTATCTGTATAAAATCTATTATCAAAAATATTATTTTCTTTCGTGTTTGCAAAAATCCTTCAACTTTATCCGGTATTTAATAAATTACTCCCATTGTTACAGAATACGGACAACCCGAAATCGTTTTCGTCCGATTAGTATGCATTTTTAGTACAGCTGTTGACAAGCTTATACGGTTTTTAGATTTAGATAGAAGAATAGAAGGGGAGATGTTTTTGCACCGAATTGCTATTGATAATCAGGAATAAAACGTAAGTTGAAACACGATTGTTTAAACAACAAACACCCTTTTATACCGACTTAACCTCTAAGCATTGCGATCTGTTCCCCAACGTTATTGTTTTGGGAGCTTTTGTCATTTGATCAATATTACCTATCACCCCATTTTAACATTTAAGCCCCATTTGACTGTTTAAGCTCCAATCAAAGGTTAGTTTTGCCTTCTATGGTGGCATCTTGCCCGCCAAATGACCTTTGTGGCGCCAACATCAAGTTAGTATAGATATATGCGCGAATGTACATACATATGGAAACAGGACACAATGGCGGAGTAGTCTCCATGGTTACAACACAAAGTATCAAAACACATCGGGATTAGAGTTTCGGGTCCGGATTATTTTATCTATTTCGTTTTGAGTGTCCACACTAATACAAAGGTGTATTGATCTTTGGAGATATATACATAACGCAACCGTGCGAATTTCGCGACCATACTTGCCGGCATGGTGGAGGAAAAAAGCGACCGTAAAAAGACGAATACGGTTATTTTCGATGTGTCCAAAAAGGAGCCGTTTAGCATTAACGAAGGATACAAAATTCTCCATAGGAGGTAATGCGCATACAGCGCACAAAAGCTATTTATCTCAGATCAATTTACTGTCGTATTTTCAGTATCTGGTTGTTGATTTCTATAATTTAAAAGTAAAAAACATGGATGTGATAATAAAAGGTTCTCAATTATGAGTTACATCTGCACACTAAATAAATATGTAAAATGGTGTGGCATTTTACTTAATGAGAAAGAACGCACAAATGGTAGTACCACATGTCAAATTGTCAAAGCAAAATAATAAAAGGATCCTTGAGAGCTCATCGTATGGGTGTATGGGCGATTATGCTGACATTAGTATAAGATAAAGAACTATTCAATAACTTGGTGATTTAAATTCTCAAATGTGTTTAAACCCAGTCCGTTATATGCGGCTGCGGTTAGCTCGCAGCGACGCAAGCGACCCGATAAAAGCAGGCGTTCCGATATCGAGTACCCAAGTCAGTTCATTAAAGCGATGTTTGTGTTGTAACAGGCTAGCATTTATTGGGGTACCGAGTACGTATTTCGAAACTCATGGAATCCATATACATCAAAGTCGTAATCCTAAGTTTTTAGTCTGAAACTACCAGCAGTCACAACGACAACATCGTCCACAAAGCTGGTCATTACAAGCTAAAATGTTTGTTAGTAGATTCTCTTTTGATCTTTGTAGTATCTCATCAAATACGAGAGAAACCGTATTATGCATACAGAAAAACTTGCACTGACGCTATTGAGACATACATTAGTTGACAGTTTATTCCACACTGATCATATTGTGATAGTCTGAAACTGTTGTATGCTACGCGCAAAATTGATCTGTACAGCCAAAGTAGAAACTTGAGTTAAAGCTATCCTAATATGGCTACCTCCTCCTAACAAACCTCAGTGGTGTGGGATAATAAACTCATTAAGGTCAGCTTTCATCAGTTGGGAATTGTTACTTAATGGCCCATGTAATTAAATAATTTAACATGAATTGCGACTTGAAATTATCGGCAGGCTAAAGAATTCATGGCGCGTGGGATCCAATCGGGAACAGATACGTCCAGAAGTTCTCAAGACATGTGATGTTTTTGTACTTGCCGGACCACGGGCGATGTTACTTGACACTGAACGGCAAGCGCTTAAAAGGTTCATTGAAGGTATGAGAATCAACAGCCACACACTATATGTATATCTGCTAAGACTATACTACTTATATTGCTGTATTTATAGTAAAAAATATCCATTGTAATAGTATATTTTAAATATATTTGATCGTAATGATCTATAAATAAGTGTTGCAGATACAGAGATACTGAACTAGTACAGGGTGAACTTTTCTGTAGAAAAGTCTAATTTTTAATGTGTTTTACTATATTCGTTTTTTAATTAGAATGATCATGTCGCTTATAATTTCAGAAGGAGGACGCTTGCTTGTGATGCTTGGTGATGGAGGAGAAAAACGATTTCAGACTAATATTAACGTTCTTCTCGAGGTAGTAAATTCAATTTTGTCTAGCTTTGCCTTTGAATTCTAACTCTGTTGTATTTTCTTTCAAACTATAAGTACTAGTACCGCATATATAATTTACTTGATGAAAAACCTTACTGCATAACAATATTATCAAGATTTGATTGAGACTATCATGCAGGGAATAAGCTTCGTGATTAAATCTCAGTTGCTTTTTATTTGAGTGGTATTCGTTATCAATATATTTCGGCTTAGATGAAGCACTTTTTTCAGGAGTACGGCTTAATGGTAAACAGTGATGTAGTGATTCGCAACGTCTACCACAAATACTTTCATCCGAAAGAAGCTTTTGTTAATAACGGGGTTCTTAATCGGGCCTTACTCGAGCTCGCTGGAAAACGGGTGAGAGAAGCTCCCGCCACAAGTGTTTGTTCCTAGGTAGGAAAAAAGGAGGCAGCCGTCAACCTTTAGAACTTTTCTCAGTACGGCAGACCTTGATTGCTATATTTACAACGGAATGCCTTATTCATCTCGAATTATTTTCGTCCTAACAGGTCATAAGGTCACATAAAGATCAACGTTTCAAGATAAGCACTCAGCAATGGATTAGTAATTTACCTCTGCTAAAATTACCCAAAGGTAGTAATAAAAATTTAAGCGGGCCTTGAGGCTATTCACCTAATTTTTGCTAAAAATCACTGGGCAAATGTTAATGATGGTTGTTGTGTCCTGTCTCGTCGAATTTCAGGTAGATTCAGCTCAAGAAAAAAGAAACTCCCAGGGATTGGCTTTTGTTTACCCTTACGGAGCAACACTAAATGTGTCTCGAAATTCCATTGCGTTACTGTCCACTGGCACAGCATGTTTTCCACTGCAGAGACCTGTCTGTGCACTTCATCAAGGGCCCAATTCAGGCAGAATTGTCGTGTTGGGCAGTTGCCACATGCTTGCCGATCTATATATTGATAAGGAAGAGAATAACAAAATTCAGGTCAGCATGCATTTTACGAGACTTTGGTAAAGCAAGGCCCGAAATATAAACGGGTGCGCTAATACAGTGCTGTATAAGAATCGCACTTACGTATCTAATTTAGATGTTGATTTCACAGGATATCATAATGCAACTCCTGACCCGGGAAGACGTAAAGCTGAATCAAATTGATGCACGAGATCCTGACATAACGGATTATACCACAGTGCCAGATATTGCTTACCTAGCCGACAGACCACTCGGATGTTTGGATGAGAGTGAAGAACTTCCCTCTGATTATATGAACCTTTTTGAGCTCAACCTTTTCAAGCTTGACAACCTCGCTTTGCCTACGGTAATTGTAGAGTTTTCAATCGCTTTTATTAATTGCACTGTCGAGCAAATGCTCGTTCCAAAAAAATAAAAGCAAGTGAAACGTAATATTGAATTAATCTGAGCTATGACATAATGCTTTTCTGGATAGTTATGTTTCATGTTTTTAGTTGTGAAAATCAGGCAAATTCTTCTGTATTTATAAGTACGCCATAGGCAGATAGCGGGATCCACCGCTGTACAGTATTGATTTTATTACTGGATGGAATTTTATTTAGACTATAAGTAGCAACGTTGGCGCATGCTAATTTCGTTTGCTTACCTGTTTATTACATACTGTGCATTTTCATCTCTACCACTGTTCAGGTGTTGGATAGTTACGAAGAGCTGCAAATAAAACACGAGCCACTAGGCCTTATTCGGCCACACTTTGACTCGCCGTTCCCCCCTCTTATTCCATCAGTATTTCCGCCCCAATTTCGTGCACTCAAAGACCCCGGACTTGAGTTGTTCGATCTCGATGAAGAATTTAGCTCGCAGATGGAACGACTTGCTCAATTGACCAATAGGTGCACCGACGATGACCTTGACTATTATATTCTGGTAAGTATATCCTTTTTGCATATATCTGCATATATTAAATAAAACAAAGGCATCAGGCCCTCAAATAGATCGAACCGCTTTCTTGACAACGTTCCATTACTATCTATGCCCAGATTATGCGCTAGTGGCTTATGGGCATCTATTGGGCACTGTTTAATCTTCTATAGCGGCTTTATGCTTTAACTGAATTTACGCATCATCATGTTATCATCAAAACGTTGCGCACGTTTGTGTTGAGTTATTAACAAGAAGCTACGGATTTTGTTTGTAGGAAGCTGGCGAGATCCTAGGTGTATTTCAGAATTCTTCAGTGAAAAGGCAAGCCGCTGCTGTATTGGATCATATCTTCACGCAAGTGTGCGAGTTCAAAAAGCTGAACCAAGACTAAACAAGAAGTCCCACCGTCAGAATTCACTTGGTTATATATATATATACAAGATAGCTATTATGTTTTTTCTGTAAATATCCTAATTTTGAAGCACTGTGTTATTATTGTATCTAACAAAATGATTTGCCTTAATTTGCATAAAAATAGGTTAAAATTACTGTTATTATATGCTTTCCAATACATCATTGGTAAATCTAGAAAAGTATCTGCATTAAGCGTTCTTCTCTACGATGATTAAAGCCAAATTGCTTGTAGCCGTGGAGTAGCGCTAACTTTTATTAGATACAAAAGGATCGTGATTTATAAACTTTGAAGCTTCACACACCATCTAAATAAGAGGCCCAACAGTTTCGATCTTTCAAAATATTTGTGTGATTAAAATATTGCCATTGTGGTTTAAAAACATAATTGTCCACAAAAATGTCAACTCAATGTCGTAATTGAAAAAACCTTTTACGGTATAATATTTTTTTAATACAACGCAATAGTGTAAAAACTGAGAGTACAACAAAATAATGAAGTAACTGAAGGAAAACATATGTTAAATAGTTACAAAAGAAATAAAATAGAATAAATCTCCCGAAATCCAATCTCACCTTCTTTTATATAAAGATAGGTTAGGTGCTGCACCACTAGTTTCGCGATGGCCAATAATTATGTCTGACAACCTTAAACAGCATCAGTGTACTTATGACAACGAAAACATGCCTATATTAAATCTATATCTTTACTAAAAAGAAAGCGTTCCAGGTATTTTTGTACATATTCCACTATATTTATTCATACTCATGTGTAGATGAACTAGCTTTTCATCTCTTCTGTAACGCGTTTTGTTTACTTACACCTTCGCACTCGTAAAGAGACACACAAGTACATACATACAACCACAGTACATACGTACACCTAGCCGAGATAAACATCCCCCGAAAAAACATATATATGCAGTCGCACATTCCGTCGCTCACTCACTCGGCTTACATCACTACTCAACAAAATCGGCACTTACCATAGGTTTGAAACAACAATGAAAAGAAATTACACCCTCGCTATTGTATCAGGATTATTTGCCTAGCAATTTCCTTTTCATCCCTTTCCCTTCGTTATCAGGCTATCCGAGGCCTCTTCTCCGGGTGCCCTTCACCTTGTTTCAAAGCAGCTGCCGGTGTTTTGTGATTTGTTGTGGGAGCAGTATTATTATTCGCCGCTGTCGCGGCATTGCTTTGCGTTGTAGAGGCTGCAGATGCGGTGTTGGCTTGCTGAGTACCGGACGCGGTGGGGGGCGCTGGTGCCTGTGCTGTAACGGTGTTTGTCGGGGCCTGCGACTGATGCATAACAGGCAATGACGGTGGGGCCAGTTTTGGTGGATATCGTCTTGCCAATTCTCCTAGCAAAAGATCAACCCGCCGGCGCTGAAACAGACTTGCAGTCTCTTTTTGATCCTCTTTCTCTTTGTCTTTTCTTTTTGCGTCGTCGTCGTCCTTGCCAAAATCCCACCAGTAGCCTTTAGACGGGTGGTATCTGTATGAGTAAATGAAATAGATCGAAAGATGTTATTATGGCCTAGACCTAGAGGTCAACGGACAGCAAATAAAAAAAGACGGCATAAATCAGTAGGACGTTTACAATTAACTTAATTATATAATATAATATTATAAAAATAAAAATGTAATAATAACAAAATAACAATTAATCGTGGAATATCCGATAGTTTGTAGTGGTAAGAAAACCGATTGGTAATCTACAGTTTAAACATGACAACTGCTTTTTTAGTGTGCTAATTTGATTCGAACATATGATTTGCATAGGACAATAGTCAAAATTATTAATAGCCCAGCCCATATGAACGTGTTTATAGATTTAGCCCATAGGCTAAATGTATAAACACGCTCATAAAAGTTCCATATTAAGACTCATCGATCGTAGTATATCTTCTGCGTACACTACAAACCTGCTAAAAGAATGCGCCTGCTCGAACGCGCTTTGAAGGTGGAAGACGGTCGATAGTAAACGCGAATTGACTGCTGTGTTCAAATCTGGAGCTTGATAGACAACACCTGCCAGTACATAATAATCTGCTAGAGGTGTTACTTGAGTTCTACTGTGACGATGTTGTTTCCTGAAAATGTATCGGAAACAAGCAGTATATTATCTCGTCTAAGATATTAATATAGGGAAGTAAATTTTAGACCGTATTATTATCTTCATGGTCTCTCTTATTCATGCCTTATCCGAGAATATATATATATATATACACGTTATGCCCGAGTCAATGCATGATAACATGCGCGTCATTTGATATTTCGAAAAATCCGACTAAGCCATTCGATAACTAATCTCATCCTAGTCAACAATGTCGGAGTCAACGTCTACATATAAATCATGGTTGCTAAACGATTTATTAAAGCGCTAAACTTTTAGCCCCTACATTTGGCCTCATAGAAATAATCTTTGCTTTCTAACCTTATGATAAAGAGAATAGGCTCCTGGACATGAAGAAGAATATACTCAAGACCGGTCATTTCGTTCATCACCTCAGCGTCGAGTCTCTGCATTTTTACTGTCTCATTATTGCACGTACGGTCATAGAACGGATTCGAACGATCCGAGAAGTATTCAAGAACATTGTTCCCATCAAGCACACTAAGCCACGCGCTGTCATGCCACGAGAGGCCCAATGGGTTCTGTGGATTAGGATCCATTTTAGTCGAGCTCATTTCCTTGAAACGTCACAAAATTTCGTTTATTTCAGTTACCTCACCTCTACCGGTACCAGCTATAGAGCTTCTATATGCACACACATGTAATTCACAACAGATTCACAAAATACTGCTATCCACGTTTCGACCTTTGCTTGCTGGTTCCCACACGAGAGAACGAACTGAGCACCGTTAGTTTATCCGGCGCTTACTTCACCAAACCGAAATATCTCAACAATATACCGTTGCGCAGGTAAACAAAGTGTTTAATTCTTAAGTGAAGTCACCTCTTATGTCTATATGTACCCTGAAGAGGCGCCGAAAATTAATCAACTAAACGGTTCACATGCTGTGCATATTCAATATAAGGCTGCCCAAAACAAAGTGTAGCAACCGAAGCTTTTGTGAAACGCAATAAATCTCAATAGGCGATCAGAATTGGGCTAAAGCCGCATTCACAAATGAGGAAACAATTAATTGGCCCACTCTAAGACCACTTCGCTTTTTTCCACTTTGTTTTGGGACTCTTTGTTATGTTGTTTATGTTATTGTCAATGCCTTCCTCCTGTCGGTCCTCAGCTGCTTTCTGCTCGCAATTGAGCGCTTGCATTTAGGGAAGGTCGCCGCCCGATGTTTGTTTACAGTGTTCCGTAATTCGAGAGAAGGGCGAGCGCTTACGATAGACGCGGCAAACTCCAATATTTAAACACTCTATTAGGTTTTCTTACGAATTTTTAAAAAGAAAAAATGTATGTGTTTTCGGTAAAGTGAAGCTTTTACTTCAGACTTTCCGATCTGGACGACAGACGCGACGGTAACATGTTAGAAAACATTGAAATGCAAGCCGAGACTGCGCGAAGTCTCTTTATTTTGGTTCTAGTTGTCGTCGCGAGCGTATCAATGCGCGGTATTGTGATTTGTTCATGGTTCCTTATGACCTCCGCGATTAGAAAAAAGTAGCGTTTCCTGTGGTGGAGTGTGGCTGCTTATAGTCGACTTTCGGCGTTAACCGGTCCTGTTCTCGTAGCTGAAACCTATCGCAAGTATTTTCATCGCACTGAGGACAAGATGGGTAGTGGCGAAAGGTCCGATGAAACCACTACGTTTGTTGAAAGAGTCTTTCATAACACGATGGTCAAGCCTGTTATCTGGATAAGAGGTCCGTGAACGATCCTACGAATGGTTGTGGGCGCTTATTTTCAGATAGTTTACTTGGCAAATTATACCCTCTGTAAGATTAAGCTGTATGGTCTGATCATGTAAACGTTCACTGCAACTTAATCATGTCGCATTGAAGTGGAACTCATATTTCAACCTAATTTTACGTCGAAGAAGTTCTTTTTTTGTTTACCTGAAGTAGTATTCGGATGCAGAATAGTGTGCTTGTGCTTGGGTGTGATCATACTTTTGTCAGGCTCGTAAGCGATCTGTTCCTTCGTTCGGTTACATCGCCAGTAACGGTATTGGTCTGATAGCCCAGAATACAGATCTTTAGAATTAGGTTAACGCAGTACTAAAGAATACACAAATGCGTACTTTGGTGCAGCGCAGAGACATAGCGTCATATTATTTGGAAGATAGTAGTGTTGTCCCGCGTGTTTATATATGTATAACATGAATAACTAGCTTTCGAACTTAAACGCATTGCAAAGGTTACACTAATATGCATTATATCGAGTTATCTATCCAGGCAAACGAAACTATCTTTATTACATACCACCTCTATGTTTTGAGTTGCCAACAACCTATGCTACCAATGTTAACATAAATACTCAGTTTTGTAGAGTTTGCAGCGAGAAACGATATTCAATTTAAGTGACGCACCGAATAATAAGTTATTCCAAAGTTGCCTTTTAATAATCTAATGTAGCTCTGAAGGTACAAATCCTTATAATCAATCGAATGCTATTAATTTCTGCTTTATTATATCAAACAATGTGCCCTAAACTCACTAAAGGGCTATACTTTTTATAAATATAAAAATTTCGCCTGTACAGTACAAAAGCGTTATTAGCAAGTAGTGAATAATAATATTATTATGCATGAAGTAGAGGGTGCTTCATTCAGTTTCGCGAAGGAAAAATTGATTTGACCATTATTAATAACTAGATAATTTGGATTTGAGTCGCCATTAAAATTTAATTTCGAAAAGAACTATTAATACGTATTATAATTAACGCTTAGTTGCTGGATTTGGTAAGTAGAAAATATTGTCGAACCGAACCGCCCGAAGTACTATTGGTATCATCGAAAATTCCCCCGGGTGCCTGAAATTGATGAATGCTACGAGGACGATTATCCTTGCATTTTCGAAGCTGACCAACAGTTCAAACGCGATTTGTAAGTATTTTATCATGATGGCAGTACTGTGTTATTAGCACATGTATATTTAGGAGTGGTATATGTGCTGTGCTTCTGTTGACTATATATTTAGTCTATATATCATTACAATTTGTATGCTTTCAACGTTTGTATCCGTGCTGAGATCCTTTGTCCTTTCTAAAACGTTAGTGAAATTTTAGTTATTGAGTTATTAAAATATCATTCTTTCATTTCGCAGAATTTGTCTCGTAGGAATCGTTTTACAGAAGAATGATGTATGATTTGTTTGTCCTTCTACCTTCTTTTGCTATCGCAGCAAGGTCGAGACGGAAATTGTTCGTATTCTCCGACGTCGACTCTCTGATTGCATCGCCCATGAGCAACCTGATCACCTCGAACGATGTGCAAAGGTAGCGACATAAAATCGTTCATTTGATATTTTCATATCTTTTTATTCTTATGATAGCAATATTTTTCTGTTATTTTTTATTGGTTGATCCCACGCGATCCAGCTCAAGCCACATCATCGGCCCTTAAATGATTTTTCAATACCTTTGAAAATGGGATTGTGTAATAGTGATATATCCCATTTGCCGTGTCAATAATAAAAAATAGGCGTAAAGCGTAAAAAAGTAAAGAAATATGGAAGACGGAAACATGTGATTCGCTTCGTGTTCGAATGGTATAAAGTAATTTGTACATAATAGGGATAGTTTTTGAATTCGCGTGTCACAAATGTATGAAACGTGCAGATGTTATAGAATTGTTTTGTGATGAGCGATTGTTGGACAGTGCTCACCTGAAAATAACTTCGACTGATCCCCTCAATGGACTTCATCGTAATTTGTACTTCTTCTAGTGTATTAATCTTTTTGTTTAATATTGTCTTGATACTTTATGCTTTCATCTTGATTCCTTCGCTATATACGTTTAAATCTACAGGTGAGGACTGATTTTGAAGAAGCTGAACTAAACTGGTTCATTAAGTATGGCGATTTAGGGTACAGGATTAACGCAAGAGACGCGTATTACAAGCAGAAGCATCGCCTGGTTTTCGAAAGGAGAAAACGGGAGCAGGAGGAACGTGAGCGGCAGCAAAAATTTACCTCGGAATAGAACAAGCTCCATGTGCTAGCGGATTGATCGTTTAAAAAACGTAGGCCATCTCTAACTAACGTCCAGCACTTCAAATTGAATAGCGGTGTATTACTAAATACCAGAGGATATGTCAATAGTGCGCAAGCACTTACAGGAAAATTTTGACGTAAGACAACGGTTACGATTCTGATTACCGCAAAGATGTCATCCTAATGTTTCATACCGTTAGGAATATGCCGCATTGAGTCGCGAATTGCGGCAAAGCGATATCAGCATCGTAAAAGAGAGTGACATTAATGAACGAAGAATAAGCGCAATTTAGGTGACAAAGATGCGCGGCGTACGGTACTATGAATAGAGGACTGTTTTTAAAGTAGTGAGATAAAAATAAGCAGAATTAAAAAAAACATACAGAAAAAGTGAACAAGAAATCAAGTAAAAACAGATGGGTAATGCACGTTCGATAAAATAAAAAAAAAGTGTGAAATGTTTGAAAATAATAACGAACCTTTATTTATCGCTATATATACCCGTATAACAGAAAAAATGCAAGCGATTAATAAAAATGTAAGTATTTCAATAACCTAGAGAGGAGTGAATAGCAATGTTATGTCCACTGATATATTTAATTAGTCGTAGATCAAAAAAAAAATTTAGTAACTTAACGCCCCGCGTTCAGTATTGCCAGCCAGACCAGAAAAACCACAAGTAAGGTGCTCAAAGTCAAGAATTACTATTTCAACAGTATTTAACTTATACTTTTTAAACTATAATGAAGTATAATTTGCCTTCGCTTCGCGTGCCTATTAGTGTATGTTGCCAGTCATAAAGCAAACTCTGAGAGCTTAACCCATCTAATTACGATTTTGTCTATCTCAACCAGATGAATAGTTTCCCCGTTGGAGGTAAGTACGTAGACCCACACACAACATGCTCTCTCTAGAATTGTCAATCCGATAGTCGCAACTGCAATAATATACGAAGCAGCTTCGATGTTCTTGGCTAACTAATCCAAATGCCAAATTTTTATCGGAGAATGTTTGTCTTCCTTCCACTTCTCCAAAACCCGCTTCTTTTTGTCGACCTCATATTTTCAAAACATCTTCGTCATCATTTGCTGATTACAACTGAAATAGTTCTACAGAATCGATCATAAGATCCCGAAGGCAGCATTTCCCGCACGCCGTGTGCGTTAGCTGCCTCTCACTGGTACGTTATTACTGTTGTCATAGAAACAAAGTTAAAAACATAAATGTGAGAGAGTAAGTTGCGTGTTGACGGAAGAAGGGCGATGGGTCGATATAAAACTGTGTCAGGGGTAAACTACGAGTCTGGAGCAGCAAGCCGGCCCTAATTAGAGATTTGTGGAACGGCGCGGTATGGCCTACAGTTTGCCTAGTTCAGTAGGCCACTAGGTCTCTCCATACGCTCGTGCGTGGGTCATCGACCTAGCCACATCCATTTTGACCGTCGCCGAGATTAAAATTGGGAAGAAATGATGTAAAGCATTTCAGAGAAATCTTCTTTAAACCTTTATTTTCTTAAAGGAAGCGGTAGATGAGGCACGCTTGATGTGCGTATATGTTCTATATTGTTTTACGCCGAAACGTTGACAACTTACTAGGTCGGACTGTTAGGAATATGTCCGAAAACCCTTGCGAAAGCAGTTTATGTGTGCAGTGTTCGTGAACATCTAGCTTATAGTGAATCAGTTTAGGTTAGCCGGGTAATAATAGAGACAAAAACAGCAAGATGAACAACGCTGTGCTGGAACTTTATTCAAAGGAAATAGTCGAAATCGACAAAAAGTACGTATACATTATAACGAACGTTCAGCATATAAAACGAGTCCGTGTACACGAAGCACACGACTGTTTTTATTTCTTAAATTTAAACTATAAACTTGAGTAAACGATTGTCGTATTTTGAGTTATTGTATTGAGTGTTTGTAGAATTATTTTATTCGAAGTAAAGGAAGTATGGAGTGAAAAAAATTCTCGCGGCCCTGAGAGTGTATGGTCGCGGCTAGGCACATTAGACATATACAAAGGGACAAGTTTATTTCTGCTAAAATAACTACTTTACTTGACCTTGCAGTATTCAATCTTAACATCTGATCTTCCGAGATAACTAACCTAGATATTAAAGACTGAGATTGATATTTTAGGAGCACATGTCGCTGTCACGCCATGTTAGTTGTTTTTCCTTGCTAATCCTCTTTAACATGTCTACTCACTCCTCTTTTGTCAGTCGGATAAACCGGAGCAGCCTTACATTGCGAACTCTTGATATTTTCAAAATGTAGGTTGGTATTTACCGTGCCATATACGAAAACTTGTCGGATTTCTTGAGGTCTACATGCAAGCTTACACTATGTAAGCATCATTCAATGAAATACATATGATACGCGTCGGAACCGGTGTAGTACTCCGTGAATGACGCCACTTTTATCTAGAAGAGAATAAGGTATAGTATAGAGCTATTAGTAAGGTTTTTAACACCGCAGTGGCTCAATTCTAATATTAAGACCAGATGTAATCAAATCCTTATCGATTGTCCTTTACCTATATATCGCCTTGTCAAAATATGTTACAAATTACTTTAGGATCGAGAAATGTTTATCGGATATTGAGATCATCCTTAAAGAAGATCTCACGTCAGAAGGAGCTAAAGGCGACTTTCTTCAATGGAGGTTGCAGTACGACGCCGCACTCATCGAGATTGAATCGGCAGACCTTGTTTCAGCGTTACGTTTGGTGGTAAATCTTTTGGATGTCTGTAATGAGCATATTATTATAAGATTTGATACTTCCTAAAGTAAATACTCGTCATAAGGAACTTAGCACATTTTTATTTAATTGCAATACTAGATGTTTTGAATGCGCCTCTAACATGCATTTAATATGTATTGTTCTTTTATTCTCATCAGTTGGAAGATTTTCACATTCGAAGTGACCGCATCGAATCTATTGAAAGAGTCCTTTTACCGTTGATAGGGTATGTAAAAAGCGTTTTGTGTGTGTCACCATTAAACTCTTACCCGGCGTCATGTCCCTTCTGTGCCGACTACCAAACGCCCGCGCCAACGGACCAAGAATCGCTGCGGTTGCTTTCTGCCATTGGTCAACATTTAGAGATGGAACTCTTACGTACTTGTGTACCCGTAGCATCAAAATGCGATGTCGTTTTAGACGAACAGTGCGTCTATTTTAACTATCGACAGAAACTTGCGCTTCTTAAAAGCCTATACGATGCGGACTATGTCAACGAGCTGCATTGGCGGCTCCGTGAGAAGCAGCTGGCGAACTTTCAGTGCACCTGCTGTGGAGAACAATGTCTTTTCTGCTTTCTTGAAGAGTGTGCGAAGTATCTAGCGCTTGACATGGCCCTAATAGATTCGGGGCTGTTTCAGCCGCTGCAAGTTTGCGATAAGCAACTGCACAGCATTTACCACAAGTGTATTTTAGATTTTATCGAGGTAAGTGTACTAAACGGCGTTGGAATGGAAGCTTAACGGTTATATACATGTATATACATATACACCTTTCCCCATATCTAAAGGCGACTTTCAACTTTTATCAAAATATTATTTATCATGTAATGTACTGCAATGATACACAGATCATTCTGGACGATAAACTCGACGATGATCAGCTGTTGTCTACCCGACACACATTTCGGTGCTCTCTTAGAGAGAGAGAACTGGGTATCGGCTCGTTGCCCCAGTTGGCAGATGAAGGTATTACCCAGATTCTTCAGGACATGAACTGGTTTGACAATCGAGTCAAGTTTTACCTTGCAAAATACGCCTACGGGGATACTCATATAAGCGTTGGTATGTATGAACGAAGGTGATTTAGGGCGGTTCGGCGTAACCTGCTAAAATTTTGGGTGATAAGCGTATTACTAGAATATGAGCCTTGGATTGTTTCATTCCGATCCAAAACAATTGAATTTTTTTAAAATTGTTTATATATAATTTCATATACATAATTTATATTTGTTTCTTAATTGGGTAAGATATGCTTGTGTTCCACTTTCCACAGACACTAGCTGGGTATCGCAGTCGGTGCGTAGCTTAGTTTCGTCCCTCGAAACTCTCGTGCCTGGAGTCACATCCGCATGGCAACACTGGTCCGTTCCGATGGCCGACGAGGAGCGCTTCAAGAGCGTTCCTTGCGCCATGGACGGTTCTGAAAGAATAGTTCAAATCTTTGGCCTTGCATGGGATTTTGTTCTACGATTACGCCGTTTTGCAGCCATTGTGAGCAGTCGAAATAATAGCAAATCTCTTTTGGTGTCACTCAACCATTTTCTACATTCGGGCGTCGATATAGTGACAGCCACTTGCAGCTCGATAGCCAAAAGGGCAATTATTAACAATAAGACCTTCATCGCATATAATAGTGTCGCATACGTGCGAATTCAGCTTGAGGCATTTCAGCAGACGTAAGTGTACATTAAATTCCTACACCATGATATATTCGGCGATTGCCTGTGTACCAAACACATTAATACAACATGTGAAGAATTACATGCATGGATGCTCTAAGGCGATCTAATAATATCATTATATCTCGTATGTAAGTATTGCCCCAGATTTTTAATCTAAGACCACTTGAGTATTTAAATTTCTGACATAGCAATTTTATCATTGCGTTCGCCGTTTCACACTTGAATTGGCTATTATACTAATAAACCCCGAACACCTTACAATTTGTAATTGAACGCTTGTAGATGGTTCACTATGGTTTTATAATCACCACGACGACATTCAGTTCCATGTCGAACCCACTAAGAAGGTGTTCCGCACGAGTTGTTTCTCTATACAATTTAGAAACAGAACGTCGCTATCATCAACTGACTAATACTTTTCTGTTGTTTCATCGTCTAATTAAGAAACAGTGACGTCGCTGACCTTCCATCTGGTGTCATGTCAAAACTATCAACGGTTGAGGACTCTCTCGAATATCATATTGTCTGCCATCACGTTAAATGGGCTTCGAGTTCAGCCAGGCACAGCCTCTATGACTTCAGCTCAATACAGAAGCCAGATATGGTATTAAGATTTCAATACTATTAATGCTTATTTACGACAAGGTCATGCTATGGTTACTATCTTTACGAAGAGCATTATGATCATTACGTCTACCGGTCCTTAGGCAAGTATATAAGTAAATTAAAATTGTACATTTCAGGATGGATTTACACTGGCTCCAGCCTCGCTTCACATTTATATGGAAAACCTCTGCGCGAGACTATCGCGTGTGCTTTGCCAAATTGGCTGCCAAAAGGTTCGAAAACAATGAGAATTGTACGGAATTAGTGTAAAACGCAAGCGGACATCTGTTCCGATTTTGAACATGAAAGCCAGAATTTCTTTCCCAGTTGCTCGTCTCTCATTTATTTGCTCGGGTCGGAATTAGCGGAGACTAGCGATTCAACACGATATAGAGACTGGGAAAGAACAAGCATCTGTTTTATCGGAATAGACCTAAACAAGAGTCTACTATTTAAAAAGATCACGCTACTCAATAAATTTTACTATGAAGTTAATGGGTACAATGGTTTGTTCACATGCAGATTTTCCTTTACCGACTCTGCAGGTTGTGTCACGAGTATGGAGTGAGCTGTGCACAATGCTCTGCGCAACCTATGCGCAAGCTAAGCCAAGCGAACAACAGGTGGCGCTGTTGTCCCGCGATATCGACGTCGTCCTTGCTACAAGCTTCAATGTTTTACTGTTTGCCTGCGAAGACGTGCAACATGTGCTCGGAGCACTTGACGAGGGAGGGGATCCACGAAAGGTAAGAGCAGATATTTAAGCTAGGCAGCATAGCTACGATGGGCAATTTTCTAGACAAACAATGTTTTTGTATTGCCTAAGTCTTGGCACTGCTGGCGACATACGCATCGCACTCTGACATGATGCTTCAATTCCAGTTGCGGCATGTAAAAAACATTCACGCAAGCTGCGTTCTCTTATTGAGCACAAAGTATCTCACGGACTCCCCTGTGGACGCGCTCTACCAGACCTTCAAGGGCGGTTTACTGCCCGATGCTCGAGCTCCTCTTCCTGGCACCGTGTGGGTGTCGCACCTCTTTCAGAATTCAATCAATGGAGCTGGATTTCGCCTAGACTCTGCGCCGAACATTCTCGTTTGGATTCTTCTCGAGATGATGCGCGTACAGAAAAACCACACGTTTGTACTTTGCGTAAAGGTGAGTGGCCATGTTGTTCGTGCGCACACTGGTCGATGCTCCTTCGAAACACTACGTGCATTAAACTACCAGTCGGCTCGAAATGTTTATTGAAAGAAATCAACAACTTTTACATGCATAAAAATGTGCAACAATACCAAAGCGTACAATATACCTCTAAAGAGGGCAGAGGGTGAATTGTCCCTAAATGTCTTGATTTTAGTTGTACGTGTCAAATATATCGAATATAAAACGCAGTTTGTGCCAAGATTCTGGTAGAGACATCATAAACATTTTACAGAATATTTTATTAACTCATGATTATATCAACAGATAAATGTTTATAATACATTAAAGAAACGATACGAAATTGCATTTGGTTATGAATTTGAAACCGTTAGTTATGAAAGCGACTATATCGTGCTAAAATATTATACTACTACTACTACTACTACTACACTATATATATATATATAATTATATAGTGGAACAAATAGCAGCATCGACTTAGCTGAATGATGCGTATCACGCGATCAAAAATCGAATAATGGTATAACGCGCTTCACAAAAAGGTTTGAGTAGGTAATAGGTCATTAGCTAAAGTGAGTGGTGGCCCGCTAACACCATGAACGTGCATGAAAGATTCAAATAACTTTCTAGAATAATGGCACTGCAAAAGTTTGGGTCGGCCTCAAATACTACACTGAGTATTGCGAGAATAACAAGTATATTTTGCTTTAAATATCCGTTTTAAGCGTTAGCCACACATGATCGGAAAAGCTGTTCATTCCTACCTGGAATTCTAGGTCGAATGTTATACGAGATAGCTTTGCAACGCATGATCGAGACGTTAGCTAGAGACTGTAATAATATTGCCACACTGTTCAGCGTAAATTAACCCGGACATTTAATTCGAAGTCCCTCTGCTAGACACTTACGCTCAAGTGCCTTCCCGGACCGTTTTAGCAGCTTCAGCAATACTTATTTTATCAAAAATAGTCCATTATATCTGTGATTTAGGCAATGCGCGCATTCAACCATATGTTGTCCATTCTGCTGGTGCGTCAGGGCTGTGCTGTGGGCGCCCTCAATGAAGACGAGCAAATGCGTCTCATGGATGCCGCGTTATCTTTGGGAACATCGAGACCACCTTGTGAATCATCCCACAGTTTCGTTGGAGATATGATCATTCCCATTATTGAAAAGTGCGTTTAATTTTACTGCTCCCTACATTTCGACAAGTGCGTGCTAACTTCGATATACAGTTGTCAATAGACGCAGAGATTCAATTGTTTTGTGAAACTCTTTTACGTTCAGTGCTTGCAAATGTCATTGAAGCGCTTATTCATGATCACGCTGCCATCCTTTGCTAAGAATCTAAACATTGCGGCGAACCAACTCGGCTTTTTCAGGACGAATTCGTGGAAAGCGCTTGGCTCGGATTGCCTGAACGCAAACGTGAGTTTTATATTGAACGTAAAGGCGACTAATTTAGTTGTTTAAAATTATACAGAACTGGCGCGAATCTAAACTTTGACTGTTAACGGTTAAATGATTCATTGTCTTATGTTGAATGATCTATTTGTTGAGACTTGACTGATTTTTGCACAATTAGGAACTTTTTTCGAGAAGCACGAGCGTATTCGGACCCAAACGGTTATCAAACATTTTCTCTCTATTATTTTCTCTCGCAGCGTCCTTGGTGGTACAAAGTACTTCAAGGGAGACTTAAGCCGTTTGTAAGAGGGTAGGTTATCTAATAAATTCATATAATAGTGCCTAACTGTATTGCTCAACAATCTTTTAAGATGTATGTTTTAGATTTTGCTTGAATAGATGTATGTTAAATGCACCAAACATGAATATCTTTGCTCAGTATGCAAGTTAGTCTCACATTTTCTGAATGTGTTTAGCGAAAAAAGGATTTAAACTTTAAGTAAGTGATTAATATTTTAAGATACAACTAGACAAGTATATAATATCTGAAAAACAGTGTTATGTTTATAGGGTTGTCTTAAGTGTAACTGACTTAGCTACTGCAAGGATCCGCCGAGAAGCCGCATCCGATTCTGGAGCAGAACTCAGTTCGGCCAGCTGGAAATCGACTTGTGAAAGACTTTTGGGCTTTGTCGGCGAACGTCTTGATGAGGCAGCCCAGAGTCGAAAGGAGGTTTGTTTAGCAAATGCCCAATTTTTGCCCCACAATTTTTCAGGGCACTTGAATCGAACTAATGCGAACGCTAAAAATAATAAAAAGCAGTGATGATGTTAGAAGCATTGGAAGGTTGAACTGCAGTTTGTGTATACCTGTAGGGATACATACAGAAAACAGTTCTAAATGTAAGTAGACTTAATGAGGTAGTTCTCTCTTCGATATCCGCGTATAAGATAAGAATTACTGAGACGCCGCCTTCTAATTCCATAGACAGAACTGTGAAAGCCTCTTACATTCGATACATTCAATATTATCAGCTCTGAGCACTGCGAGCTCAAGGTAAATTACAACGAACTATACATATTACGCTTTAGAATTTGCACTCTATACTTTATCGGGCGAAAAATAAATACTGAACAATCCTGCTTTCATAATAGGTGGAACGCTTAGTCGAGCACATAGTCGACCATCTTGGGTTGGTTTCCCGAGACATTCTCATATGCTTCACCGCAATGGATGATCAACAAGCCGGAAATGTTACACCACTTCTGGACTCTATCGGCCTGCAGTTTCTGCTTAACACTGTTTGTGACCTAATGAAAGACGAAAAGTTTTTACAAGGGGTATATGGATTATCGAACGAAACAATAAATGAAAACTGTCGAAGGCTTTGCGAACGCCTCCAGGAAGAAGTGTTCGGAGAAGGCCGAGAACGGGAAATAAGCGCAGCAATTCACCAGAGACTTCTTGTCATCAAAGGAATTATCGACAGTGCTAGGTGAAAGCTTTCATCCTATATAATTTTCCATGCTTTCTTTAATAAAGTACTTATTGCCGTAGGGAGTTATTAATATTACAATATATCTTTGAGGTGGTACTCCAGATACGATCTAAACTTTTTGTTGTACACACAAAAACTGCGATTTTTTTTCTTCACAGAGAGCTGTGTCCGTTTATGGCAGGCGACGCCCTGCAGGGTGATGCGTACGTCGCTTCACTGGAACTTCCGCTATCGACATTTGACCACCAGATCGCTGGTCAGTTGACAGCTGATGAAGGTTAGTAACAATGTGAAATAACGGATCTCTAGAAAATCACATTGTATAACGCATCACACTTATTCAAGCTATATTTATAATATATTGGAATTTACATTCCAGATGTTGTTCAACTCGAAACGATTCGCGATATCCTTCGGGCTAATGATGAATGGTTTCGTAAGAGTCTTGGCGTTGACGATTCCTTGGTAACGTTTGGGCAGCCCGGCATGACTGGTGGTCGGGACGTTACTCTTAGGGCGCGTCCGGATCCTACTAGCCGATCAGGTGAAATTGAGTCAGGACCCTTGCGTGCGTACGTTGCATGGAGAACAGGCTGCTCGGAAAGATTCGATTCTGTAAAAGGTAAGCGCTGAAAGAGTCGTTTTATATGACGGTTTTCATGTAACCGAAAAATAACAACGGATGCAGGTCCACGGTCTTATGTCGAAATTTTGTATTAAAAATTTACTATAGTAATCGATTATTATCACAGTTCAACAAATTAGTTGTGCAAACAACATATTGTGCGTGTGTACGACTACAACTAAACTTATTAGACCTAAATTTTTTTACTTAGTATATTGTGTTCTTATACCATCAGGATTCAATCCACAAATCAGCAACGTTGCGGACGTTTTGTCCGAATTCAACTTTGCCGCTCTCCTCAAACAGCATCCCCAAATCTCCTCAAAGGAACAACAAGATGTAAAGGAAGTCCAGTTGTTACGCAGTCTCTTTCAGCTCGATAGGATACCTGATGAAGAGCACTGGCAAAAATCCACAAACATTTAGGCAACATTTGAGGAGATAAAAAGCTGTACTTATCACAACGTTGTATTTTGAATAAATTTACGAGTGTAGCAGTTTAACATTTCTTTTTTGCTCTAGTTTTACAAAGGTCTTTCAAATGATTTCTTTTGTTAGCAATTTCCAGGAAGTATAACAGAAACTGTAATAATCAATTACTGGGATTTTGCATATTTTGATACCAAAACGGATACTAAAAGTCGAATTTTAAAAAGCTTCATTGGTAAATATATACGCATTTTATATGCACGTTTAGACGTGAGCACCATAATGGCAGCTAGGACCGCTTCGAGGATTTTTAAGGTTTTTTTTTATGTGCCACTTGTATATGAGCATGATGGTAGATGACAATAAAATTCAACCTCAGGTATATTTTACACATCTGCAGCTTTTTTTTCTATTATCGTGTTCATTGTGAAGGCCGAGCTTATAGCTACGACAATTTTATTCATGCCATAAAATAGTCGAGGGAGCCCAGTATGTTCTGAAATCAATGTTTATACCATGCCTCTTTAAATCATATGCGGTGCCTCGTACATTAAACGATCGTCGAACGTATAAGTTGCTAGCTGTGAATTACTTCCAAGTACCTCCATAGCCTGTAGAATCACGTCAAGTTTCTGACTACATTGGCTTTCCAACAACGTAAATTTACATCGACAACTCGGTTCATGGCAACCCTCCAAATTGAAACATTTGGGAATGCGAAACGTTTCCGTAATAGCTTGATATGATCGAGCCCTGTAGATTCGCGTCACAGCGTTATTTTGTCAAAGCCGTTACGCATTGTTATGCATCACAATAGCTAGTTCTTATACTGGCAACTAGTTCACCTACAAAGAACTAACACAACTAAGGAGGACAAAAGGTACAGCCACAAAGCAGAAAACTTATCCACAGCTCCAAAGTCAGGCGTGAAATTCCCAAATGTATCGATCCCGTTCTTGTCCAGTACTCTGCTTTGTGCCTAGCTCGTTGCGTGTGTATGACGTGGACTATATTTCGATGAAAGGATAGCAAGAAGGTCATTTGTGTTCACAGTTTGGTGTACGATTAATGTGTTTTTCATTTGCATATTGTCTTGTATGCTTACAGCTCTCAATTGGCCAAGCTCGCAAGATCTTGTCATTAAAATGTAGTACTTGAAAAGCTCATAATGTTTGCCTCTGAAGCAGTATGTAGTCTAATCATAGGTCGCCAAGAAAAGCATAATAAACGTGTATGTAAAGGTTGAGGCTAGATCGACAGTCCGTCTATGCCACAGCAATCATATGTGGCACTATTGGTCCGTTACGGTTACCCCACACTTCGAAAGTGATGCCAGTGATCTAACAACACGCCGCTACGACCGCTGCATTCATATTTCATTTCAATGGATTTTCTTATCAGTTCTTTCAGAATCGATGTACTTACACAGCGTAAGCACGATACGGTGCGAATTTGCATTTTTTGAATCAAGCAGTTTACTTGATTGTGTTGCGGTTAAGGGTGAAGTACCGATTGCGTATAGTTACGTCCTGCCTACGTACGCTTCGAGGCCCTGTTCCATAAGTCGCAGCTCTCGATGTTTGGTTCATCGCCCCCCAAAGTATCTTACCAAAAGGCTGCTGCAAGTAATTATTGCTACGTTCACTGTGTGCTTTTTTTGTTGTTCTGTCCGCCGCTTGGAATAGATTAACTTCCGACAAGAAAAAAGGTTTGTTCCAAGCATACGGAATCGACACATATGGCAGTGTTCATGAGGACGAAGAATTTCTGCGATGGGCATTCCTGTTAGGGTAGTTTAATTTCAGGTAGCGTCCGGACAGCTGGTTGCTTTGGCCTTTGATGGAACAATCTGTTGGTTGTTTTTAGCCTCTGATCTTTTTTGAACTCATTGCCTTATAATAGAAATCCAGTAATGCTTGTAAGCCACGGAAAACACTGTAGTTTGATAGAATGATGACCACTGCTACAAATATATAATATGTGTTTAGTTCCGTAGTAGTTAATGTATACATATAAATGGTACGCTCTAAATGGACGCTTTTTACTGTTGTGTCATGGCTCATTGTTCGGCTCTGTAAAATGAATAAAAACGAATATCAGGTTTATGCTTACTAGTATCCACTGCGAAGCTTTCAATCTAAATATAATCTTAGCTAAAATTAGAGTGAATTGAATAAATAGTAAATGGAGTGCATATATTTGACGTATGGTAACTAAGTTAAATTCGTTATAGACCATTCATAGACGTCCTTAGAGGAAGACCCATTATTAAATGTAGAAGCACTAAATAAAAACGTATTTCATCATACCATATGCCGCGTATCTAGATAAGGAATAGGCGATGCTGTCTCGTCGCACTTTTGTCTAGCGTAAGCTAGTCACGACAGCACGTTTCAGTGTTGAACAAATCGGATACACAAGTTGAGTAAACAAGGTTCGAAGTTTAAATAATGTCGTAAGTGCTCGAGATGAAAAACTACACACTGTTTTTATATGCTTTATAATATCGATAAGTACGTGCTAGCCCATTGTGAATAGGTGCGGGGTACGAAATTTTTGAAAGCCGTTGAACAAGCCCCATTTAACTAAGTAGGGATTAATAATTGTTGAATTGACAGTGAATCGATGAATCTTTAGCTGATTCAAATCAGATTTTCCTTATTGATTTCGCTTAGTTCTCAAAAGCTCGCATGCCACGGGATTAGTATCTGTATTAATAAAGTCGATTTATTTCAAAGGCAATATTGTCAGTTTACTGTCTTCAGGTCTCAAAATTGGATGTAGCGCCTCTGCCGAGTATAGTGTTTCCACTAGACAGTCACGGGTTGTTACAGTACGCTACCGGTGTACAATGTTAGACTTGTTTTAGTGGAATTTCACCGCAAATAAGGCTTGATAGTGTTGCGCTAAGTATGCAATCGTATATTTGCCTACAAGCCGCATGCGAATCGGTAGGTGGTTAAGGGCTAATTACAGGCCTGGACGAAAGTGTTGACTGTAAAATTTTTTGGGGAGAGAACTATGTCGTCTTTACAGGCGGCTTTCTAACTAGAAAAATGAACCAAGTTAATTTATCGCGTTTAATATTAGGTGACGATTCAACCTCTAAGCTCATTTTACTTTCGGTAACTTTATCATATTATGGATACGGTACTGTTGGAGATGCAGCACGCCATTCTGTACCCTGTAATGGACAAACCTTGGCCCTAGCAAATCGGTGAACTTAAAGAACACGAGGGTATGCGCGTCGATACACCGGTGCCCTAAAAAAAAAGTGTTTTTCGAAACAATTATTCAGATTTTAGCCGACTACTCGAAATTCGTTGACAGAGCGTACCCTAGTGTATGGTGTTTCTCTATTAACAGCCTTATCTGCAAAGCAACATGTGGCTTGAATTTTTTGCCTCCTAGCACGTAAACCATCAGAACGATGTTTCGTTACTAAAAGCTTAGTTTGCATAATGCGATGTCTGTGAGCCTAATTGGCAGCAGCAGGGCTTGACGACGGCGAAACGGAAACTGTGTGCTTCAGCTCAGGACTGTAACCAAAAGCCGAGTGCTCCGCGTGCGGCGCGTAACGAGTTGGTGTTCACGAGCGAGCCAGCCTTGCTCTCTCGTGAAGCACGTTCAATTCTATACAGGGCGTCAGACTGCCTGAGCTGAGTGATGGTAGCATTATTTTGTCATGTCTCATCGGATCTAAGTGTTTGACGAGATGTTAAATAGGTCCGAAGACCACATTTTTGTACTACATGCTTACAGTTTTCTTATCTGGAATATATAATCTTATCTAAAAATAGATCACTCCGCTGCTTCAAGGTTAAAACAAGTAGATGTACGAGTCAATAGTATCTAGTAGTGCTAACTTTTCTCTTTGTAGTAGATTTGTGTATTTGATGATGTTTGCCGTCCTTTCCTCCAAAAGCGATACTGTGACACAAACAGGCTGAAGCTTTTTAACTTTACAAACAAAAATATGTTTTGTTATACATCTACTACTAGATCCGAGATTATATTGTTTTTCTATTGTAGGAGATTTAAATTATTTCAGAGCTACTTATTGCTCTATAGGAAGCCTTTCTGCCAAAAAGCGAAAGTAATTTTTGCATTGATCGTCTTTACGTACAGTATAATAAATTATGTGCCAGAAGTCGACCATTACATTGACCAATGTTCTTTGTCTGTGGCTACGCTTTTGTATTTTTCCCGCTTTTCGAACAATAAATATTGATAACTATTCTCATCTTTGCTCATTTGCTGCATATCCTTGTCAAATCTTCAGTGTTGATGTCGTATCAAAAACTATTTTTGCCAGCTGAAATTCAATATAATGTTTTTACTAAAAATCGCATACAAACACTTCTCGCGAATTTTAAAACGCTTTTCAGTTACGAACACGTCGTGCAAAACCATATCGATCTTCATCAACAGCCTTTTAATTGCATTCGCCCCGTTACTTGTTAAACAGAAGCGATCGACTCAGCGAGATCTTCATACCTAATCTTTTAATGGGAAGCAAGCTCTTCCAAGTCTCACCGTCAGCTGACAGCTAAAATAAAAAAAAAAAAGTATTTCTATAGTGTAAATTAATGATAACGTATCGCATGAAAATTCTACTGACGAAACACATTTTTCCGCACATTTGAACATACAAACAAAAAGCCGGTAAGATATTTTTGGTTAACTAATAGCCTCTAAAGGGTTTCCTCGCATTGCTAATGAGAACTGTGCATTCAACTGATCAATATTTAAGGCAGGTTGTATCGGTCGTATCGGCTTCTACAAGCCATCGACTTAGTCACGTGTACTGTTTACTGCTACTAGTACCGTTTTATAGTAAATGAGGAGGACGCCTCCTCCAGCCAGAGGGAAACAGGGGGTGGGCGTAATTCCTCTAAATGCGAAGCTCGGCATTCAGTCTGCGTGCCCTCCGTCGCTGTGTTTATTCGTACCACCCAATCCCGGAGTCTTTCACCCCCTGCTAGGTCTCTATCCTCTCGTCCGCCCTTCGTTTCTAAGCGGTAGCCGCCATCAGCTACGGCAGCTCCACCGCAGCCCGCTGCTTCAGGGGAGATCGTGCAGGTTAGCTAACGTGTTCAGTGGGCAATTTGCGTTAGCTGGCATAGATTGAAGCAAAGGCGTTCTTGTACACTATCCTAATGACTTACTGCGTAAATTCAACCGCTAACTTATATATTTATATAGGACAGTCGTGACTATCCTGTAGTGACAGTCAAATGAAGTAGGTTACCTTGAAGTCTGTTGTATTTTCGGATACGATGGTTGTCGATGTGTGGATCCTGACGGAGTATGAGTTCGGCAATTAGGTACGGTAGAGGAAAATTTGAATCAACGAGTA